CAAAATGTGAAAAGTGATTTGAATCAAGAGATACTTTGCTGCCTGTCGATTCAGATAATAAGCTCTTCAGAAAAAAAATTTGGACCGATTCTGTTCCCCGTATAAAAAGTCGATTTTGCGCTAATGAGAGGCGCGAGCGGTCTCTATACGTGTCCCGAATGTCAACGCTCGTTCAAACCACAAGGCATTACCGGTCACGTTCGATCGTGCGCACCGGACTGGTGCAAGAAGAAAAGAATAATCATGGCAAACGTGAAGTGAAGACGGGTTGCTGGAAAGAGTGAAGATACAAAATGACGACTGTCATTTAAACCAGATCCGACCTGGAGGGTGACAGACCGAGGATTCTTCAATCCTTCGTTACAATGCGGACGAACAAACCAGAACAGAGTGAACACCACCTAGCTTTTTTTCTTTTTGTGTTCCATTTCGTTTTTCTTTTTCTGTGTTTTACCCCACACCGCAAGGTAATGGGTCTATCTATCTATCTATCTATTGTAATTAATGATTTACGGGTATATTCAACATATGGCAATTGAATACTTCTCATGACAGTTTATATCCTGTTTATCTCGTTTGGAAACCTGGTAATGCGTTTAGATTCTTATCTTCTTAATTCTTTTTTTTCGTTTTCTTTTAGCTGTGTACAGGGTTAAACCACGTTCTATTGAAGATAATATATTAATGAAAATAAATGATTTAAAAAATGCGTGAACCGATAAAACGATTGGCAATATCGTATCGTGTATGTATTGTATAGTGTGGAATATCCCTATGCGTTCAGTATCAGTTTTGGACGGCCCGACGATAAGTTTTTATGAAAACAAATCATACATTTATACAAATGACAGCCGGCTTAGGTAAACCTGAGTTAGATTCAACAAAATTAATCATAACATTGAGTGTGGCAAATTATTTCGGGCTACCCGCATTAGCTGCTGTTATACCTTTCATGGTCATAGTAACAAGATGTTATATACGCTGGACAATAACTACTTATGAGATCTTAGTAGACTAAATACATATTTTAGCGTTGTACCGAGCACGTCCATATTCCTTCTTGTATATAACATGTTTTGTTTTCGATTTATGTGACTGTTTTCTTCATCCTATTGATAGAATCCTGATGCTACTGTTTTTTATATTTTTTACTACTAACACTTATTTTTTTCCTCTCTCTGTTACATCTGATCGTTTGAAGCTGAATCTTATTTTTTTATATTCCATTTTTTTATTTCTTAGTTCTAACTGTAATGTGATTCTTATCGTATAGTTTTTACTTTTGATAAAAAAGAATCTATTGATACAAGCCAACAAATAGTTTGTTATTCTTTTATGTATTTGGATTTGACTTTTATTTTCTTTGAGCTGAAACGAGTTTTCTGACAGATAAGAATATAGTAGTTCTTCTTTAAACGTTTAAAACGCTAACGAACCTCTTGCATATAATAAGTGAACACTCGTCAAGTGTTCTAATGAAATAAAGTGCATAAGTGTTAAAAAGCTGCAAAATATTTGCTTCAATTGATTCTTTGTATGATAAGAAAAAAATAAATAAAATTACTCGTGTATAAAAACTCTTCACATAAATTAAGAAAAGTGATAAATTCATGCCGTTAAGACCTAATGTCTTTTCCAAGGGACATTCTGTATCTCTATAAGAAAACAAAAGAGTAATTGTTTTTAACTATAGTATGAGCATATTGGGAGCCCAGAATCTGAATTTTTGTGATCAGCTTTCTTTCACTGTCAGAAAAAACTCTCTCGGCTTTTAAGAGTGAAACCAAATAATATCAACAATATTTTCGAAATCATCATTAATTGTCACGAAAAATAAGACGGTGTTTTGTTTAAATGTAATGGAAATACATTCACTTCACTAATAGTGTGTATACTGTCGCTTGATTACTGTTAAACAGATGAAATATCAATTATCCATAATGATGCTTATATAAAAAATGATATTCCCATGAATATATTCATTTCAATTTTTTCTTCTCTCCTTATCCAAGGTCGAATAAGCACGACCGTAAACTACTGCGCACGATATAATAAGACCGTAGACGATAATGTTTTTGCCGTTTTCCCATCACCTGTATTGTGACTATCTTTATATTGATTTTTTCGAACATGATGAAGAGGTAATCGTATATAAACACCGTGCACGCGTAGACAGATTGATGTTTTATTATATAAAATCTCATAAAACATCGTGGCACTAGCTACGTGTTCAAATTCACTGGCATTAGCAGTTCGATCTCGTTCTGTTGCAATTTCTAGAAAATTCTGGCCTTGATAGTAGCGTATATCAGCAATGCCCGACAACAGCAAACAACAGGTATGTTAGACAAAGTGAAGAGTGTTTGATAGTGATGCACCTAAAATTAGTCGATAATTATGAAAATTCTTCCAATCTTAACATTTGATGTGAATTAGCTCACTCAAAAGTGAGAGTCATTTGTGTGACAGATCATATGACTTTTTATTTAAGATATAATATCCAGTTTACTCACAAAAGAGCTGCAACTTTTTTCTAAAATAATTATTTTGAATATAAATTGTAACGATACATAATATTAACTTCTTTGTCGAGAATCGAAATCGAGAAGAAACAACCCATCTTGTTGTTATGGAAAAGGCGTTGCTATAAATAGCAAAGAAATACAGTGGCTCTCTAAATTATCCGACAAGCAGATCGAACTTTATTGTTGCGTTTATATTTATGATTAAATCGTATAAATTAGTTTAAATAAATTTCTTTTTTTTCCTTCAAATTAATTAATTAAATAATGATGTTGACTTGTTATTTTTATTTTTGTTTATTGTGTACGCATAGTTGTTGATTGATGATCCGATAATCAATCAGCAACATTAGATTTCTTCCTTCTCATTTGTGAATGATCTATCAACGTCTGCGATGTTTTTCAGTGATTTTTGCTGTTGATTGTTCTTTAAATTTGATCTTGCTCTCAATGTTGTTATTGTATCATCACTTGATGAGCAATTTTCCTATGGTGGTTGAAGAGGTTTGTTGAGCATCATGGCAGGAGTTAAATCAAATATCATATTTTTGTTTATGGCCTGTGCCAAACGACTGCTTATCAGGTTCACTGGCACTGTAGATGGTACTAATGATGGTATTTGCTGTTGATGCATCATCATCGAAACAACTGATGTAGTGTCATTTGTTGCATAGCAGATGAATGAATAATTGTATACGACATTTTTTCTATTAATTCTTCAATCATTTCATGACTATTACTATTGTGATGATTTTCACATTGGTATTTGGTAACAGTCCGATGGTTCGATTAAAAATAAGCAAAATCATCACAATAGTAATAATCATGAAATGATTGAAGAATTAATAGAAAAAATGTCGTATAGTCGAAAGAAGTTAGTTGACTGATGGTTATCTAGAAGAATATTGCATTCATTGTCTATGCTATACATATAAAATGCAAATACTGTCTGAATATCTCCTCAAAGTTTTGTAAGTGATTGCCATTTCAATCAGTCGACTTTCCAGTCTTTGCGGAGCACAGTTGGCTTTCTAATTCTTCTTCTGTTTTTTGCTACTAATGTCAAGAAACATTCATCTAGTTTCTTCAGGTGACGTACTAAGTTTTCAATCTGACAGTCTTGTAGAGTAAATATTTCTCTACAGAATGAGATGTCTCCCGGCTCTCCGTCATGTTTTCTGATAGAGCTACGATCATTTTGCTGGAAGTCTTTGAAAATTAATAACGTCACATTTGTGATATAACGTCCAGAATGATCATCTCATCAACGAAAGGCCTTGGAGAGTTGTGAGTGGTCTTATTTTGTAGAGGACACTTTACTCTATAATGCACAATATTAAACTCAAAAATAAGAGAAATTTCTAAAGAAGTCTAAAAAAAGAGGGTTTACGTTTCATTTTCTTTGACGGTGCACATTAAGATTCGACAATATATACACTACTGGATAGAGCAAATCTTCCTCTACAAGCTCATACATATCTCGCTTTGGGATCAAATATCATCCCGAAACTTATAGTCACCTTTTAAAGCTTTATATAGGATTGTTAAATGCGTTTAAGTTTTTTCTGAATGTGAGTAACTTGAGATGTATGCCTATGAGCGAATAAATATTTATCTTTTTCAATACTTGTGTTATCAAAACCAAAAGCTTTACATTGTGCGATAAAATGTCACAATTGTCCAATTTTTATTTGCTAATTGAAGTTCAATGATAAACGAAATACATCTGATTATTATATTTTAGTTTCAATACTTTTGTAGATAAGATAGGAACCAATTGTCTTTAATATTTTATTCTTCAATAAATTCAAGAATAAACAGAAGTTTAACAATGAAAAATACATACGAATGATAATCAAATAATTAACTATAGATAATTGACATTAATAAAATAATTATTTCAAATTTTACATTTTGCTTGTTATTTGTGGTTTCGTCTTTGCTTCCAAATAATTGATTAAATAATTATAATGAATACTTGTTGCTCTTTCACTTCTTCAACGTTTACTGAATTATCAATTAAAACAGGTTGTTGTTCTCTGCTTTTCCGATTTGTAATGATATATTCTTGTTGTTCATTACCAAATAAATTTCGTGTTTGAACAGACAAAAATCTTCTTGAACTATAAAAATGGCTATGATTCTGTTAACAAGAAAAAAACTGTTTAGATTGACATGAAAAAACAAATGAATGATATATCGTACGTTTGAGTTTAAAAATAAGTTCTCAAAACACTTTTAGAAATAGTTTATCTCTTGTTAATCTTATGAAAATGTCAAATAACGTATATGTCGTAATAATCGTTTGAAAAAGTTTTGTTTTGATTTATCGTGTAATACTATTGAACAACGACAGCATTTTTTATTCATATTTGTTTTAGTACCAGTAGTCATATGTAACGAATCAATCATGTATGTTGATAACGGTGTAGAAGCAATTGGACGAACACTATTTTTAGGTGTACTCGTAATTTCAATAAATAAATCAAATTGATCTTCATTTTCTGCTAGTAATAATCTAATAAAGGTCGAAAAATCCATATTAATAATAAAATGTATAAAAGTAAAGAGAAAAAAATTCAGTTTTTTCAACAAAAAAATAAAAAATGACACTTACGTTGACTCATCTTTTTGAATGTGTAATGATGTTTCCATCGATGAAATGTAACAATAATTATATGACTATAGATATGAACGTTTTGGTATCTCTATGAGATAATCGTTTCGTTTATAAAATTTTTGTTATTATTTTAAGAGAAAAAAAAATTTCTTCTTAATAGATCAAGCAGATTCTATTAACACGTTTTTGTTTTATTCAAAAATCTCTGACAGTGTACATATGTAAATGACGTGATTTTTCATTGCTTCTCTATGTATGAGTTGTTAATAATCGATGCTCAGTAGGTCTAAAAATCTCAACTTATTATCATTAAAAACATACCGCTTCCAATGATCAAATCAAAAAAAATACATTATGAACATGAAACAGAATGTTAACGAGCATGAGAAGAGGTGAGAAACACTCCATATATATGTAATGTGTACTTATTCGATAAAAACATAAAATACAACGGTTTGATTTTAGATTTTCTAACCTCAATAGATATTCACATATTTAGTTTTGTTTTTAAACCAATACTTACACAATGTTCACACTAATATCTAACTATATTTTAAAATATTCACTTAAATTTGAAACTTTACAGATATATAATATCTTCAAAAACATTGAATTAATAATTTGTTTTTTAATTACTGTATCATAGAATGACAGTGCCAACAAAGTTCACAAATCTATGGCTTCTATATAAAAGTATATTTTATTATGTTGACTGCACTTCTATCTAGAAAAAATTCGACGTAATAAAATTAATTTTTTCAAAGTATAATTAAATATTTGTAATCAGAAATACTAATGAACGACTTCTTTTTTTTTTCTATGCATACTTATACATATTCTCTAATTTTCTATTCGTCACACATGTGTCTATTCAAATGATTGTTCAGCATGATGTCTCTCTTTTATTATATCAGATTCTTGAATATACATGTATACGATATGGATTAAATTACTTCTTTTTTTTTTTTTTTTTTTATGACACAGCATGAGAGAATCGTTTTTACGCAATCAGAATAATGATGATCGTTTAAAGACAAAAAAAAATAAAGAATGTATAAATGTATTTTAAAAAATATTTTCTTAAACTTATTTTTGAAAAGTAGATAGTGGTGGCGAAAAATTGTAGAAGTATAAAAGAGAAATCATTCACTTTTACAAAATAAAAACTTTTTAATAATAGAAAAAAAAGATATTGACATTTGTGTACACTTAACTTCATCAATAAATCTTTTAATCATATAACAAATGTAGTATTTCTACTATAAGTTGATAGTGGACGAATTCGACATGATACATTTGGTTTTAATGTCCATAAATATCTATGATAGAGATCTTGTTTTATTCTATCTAATTCGGTGATATTTTCACTTTTATTCTGTACTACATTTTGTACTTTACGTTTTATTATAGATTTTGATGATGAAGTATATTCAGATAATGGTCGACTTGTAATTTTTTCGAGCATAGTCGCAGGTGTAACGGGAGCATAGCGAGTCGATCGTGGTAAATTAAAAATATGTGCAAAATATTCTGGACCTAGTAGGACTAAATCAGATAGACGATAATCTCTTTTTTGTTCAATATAAGATAATGTGGTACGCGATGAATTTATTCGATTTGATAGACGTGGTGAACTTAAACGTTTAGTTGACGGACTTTGAACGCTTAGACGAGGTGGTGGTATCATTTCTGATATAACATTTTCTGAAGTTTGTTTTATTAATTCATCATTTTCAATAACAGCTATTTCACTTTCTTCTCGAATATTATCTTCTAAAAATTTTGCACTAAATCTTCCTGAACTTCTCATGCGTGTTGTTGTTAGTGCTGCTGTTGCTGCACTTTGCATAGATATTAATGATGGAGAATTGATATTCGTAATACTATTATTGTTATTTGTATTTGTATTTACCGAATTAAGAATATTTGGTATTGTTGTTCGTAAAAGATTAGTTGAATTTCGTCGTCTGTCAAAATTTGATTTTTTCTGTTTTGGTAATGAATCATTACTATTATCACCAAAACGTAATGAATAGGTTGATGATGATCCTATTGTTGATTTTGGTATTTGAATAGCATGACCAGTTTTTGTAACATAAACAGAATTTTCTCCGGGAAATTCAAGTATACAATCTTGAACAACATCTTCTAATGTCTGTTTAAATATATCCGAACATTTTCCATTAAATACTAAAACTTTAACAGGATTATTGTCTGTTGTAGACAACTTTTGTTGTTGTTGTTGATGTTGCTGTTGAGTAGTCTCAGATGAAATGGTTACATCTGGCGGAGAATCAGTAATGGATGAACGTCGTTGTTGTTGTTGGGATAAATTAGCAACACTTTCACGACGTGATTTAGCCAGACTTGATGTACTACACGTACTATTTCGACGAGACGATGGATTTTCCAGTGGTGTAGATAAATGTTCAGAACAAGCTAAAATAATAAATTATACATTTTTATAAAAAATTTACACGTTTGTTAGCAATACTTTCCTAGAGAAACTAATTTGTATTCACTGTTTTTTGAAAATAATTGATTTATCAAATGTTAAAAAGTTCAAAAATTTCAATAAATCCAATAGGATTAATACAAAACTCTCATTTATCACATTTTTTATTCAAAGATTATTTCAGACAAAGAGTAATCTTCAGATTACAATTACATGCACTTACAATATGTGTGCTTATCCAGTAGTTGTTCGTATTAACAACGTAATTAAATACTAAATAAATCTGCCTTTTTTTCCTCCTATCGACGTGTTTTTTAACATAAATATTTTTGAAAATCAGAGTAATACAAAAGAGAAAAATCTTTAATAAAGAAAAATAATCTTCAGTTAAATTGGAGTGGTATAATTGTTTTCTGATTCCAAAAATTAGTTTTTCATAATCAAAGAATCTAATTCTACTATAAACTGATTCATCCTCTTTTTTGTTCAACTCGAAAAACAAAAAAGAACTAATCCAATTCAAATCTATTTGTTTTATTGTCGATTAAAAAGCTTTTTTCTTACTTTTTTCACGCTCTTAATACACGATCTTGAGACTTTTTTTGTGTAATAAAAATTGTCCTATTTCAAATTTCTTCTAATTCATTGCTAGAGAATGTTATCACAATTACTTTTTCAAAATTATTTACATATCTTACAGATTCCTTCGTTCCATTTTCTAGACATTATTATTTCAAATTGATTAACTATATCATCTTATGATAAAGTTATTTTCATTTCATCATGTTATAAATACTTCCGTAACCTACCGAATACGGTATATACAGTACTGGCCAAAAGTATGTATCTTCCTTGAAAAAATGAATCCTACACCTCGCTGTTTGATACGCCTAGTGTAGTGTGCCAACTTAACTTCCCATTGTTTGACTGTATCAAGTCAGTGATTTAGAAAATTAGACATGTTACCATTTTTATCTTTTTAATTGGATGTATCTTCTTGTCCATCCATATAAGGAAAAAATAATAGTCATTCATCATTGGAAAGCTCTTTATTTTCAACTATTTTATTATATCAATGGTGTTTCGAAACTCTCTTTGTTCACAGAGTCTAAATTCGATAAAAAAGACACTGAACTTTATAAATATTGACTTAAGTTCTATATATATTGATAAAAATGATAAAATGTCTACTTTCCTAAATCACTGGCTTGATACAGTCAAATAACGGGATGTTAAGTATTAGGATCAGCATTTGGTTTACACCAAATAGTGAGATATAGGATTGATTCTTTCAAGGAAGATACATACTTTTGGCCAATGCTATCATACTTTTCTTTTTTCATATGTACTGTATATATCAATACACACATTTTCTTTATTAAGTAGTTAACCTTGTGTATTTGTGCGCCGTATTTACCACTATAATCATCAAAAAAAAAAAAAGAAAGAACTGCCAACTGTAAAAGAAAACGTTTCTACTTTTATCGCACGTTCTGTTTTAGTCGAAATTAAGATTCTTTTTTATCAAACAATAAACTACAAAATGTGGTTTAGATATGTGCCATTCAGTGTGTGTGTGAGGAATGAAAGATGTACTCATCTGTTGTGAGTAACATTTTTCATATCTTTTTCTAAATTTGATGATAATTATGTTTTTAAACAAAAAATCAGAATGCTACTATATGAAAAAACTAATAAAATTCATTTATTCGTGTAGAAAATAGTACAAAATAGTTTACTAAAATGAATCATCTATAAATCCTCGAGTTCATCACCGATACACGATTACACTGTTTAATCTGTTCGAAAATTTTTATGATAGTTGGACAGTTTAAAATAAAATGCTATCACTTCATACTAATTTATCTAATTATTTTTCTCCAAAGACCAGATTTTTTTAAAAGAAGAATGAATCCCCATTTCTATGGGAAAATTTTCTCAACTTTTACAGATAATAATGTGATCATTGAAGGTAGATTGTAACAAAACTATGCAAAATCTAATGATTAAATGTATTCTTCTCAAATCTAATTATCTTTTATGTTGTGAATGTTATAATTTGACAAAATCTATTATCCTAAATTTATTTCAACTTCAATTTGTGAGTAAAATAGAGTAGTTCAATGTAAACGTTATCTTATTAAATCAAAATAAATGTATCATATGTAAAATAAAATCCGTATCAACGAAATCAGTTGTTCAACTTACCATCATACTCATTTGAATCATCATTGTTACCATTCGAATCCATTGTCTGAAATCACACAGTATAATATTACAACAATTGTTGATTCTGTTTTATGTTTGACTGATGTTGAATTGTTATATATTTTCTTTTTCTTTGACTGTCACATACTTGATCTCGGATCATATAATTAAAATTACACAATCTTTATTTGAATTTGCTCGCAAAATATATAAAATTGTACGAAACCTAATGAGTGTTTATATTGTAAACATGAACAACTGTATATTTGTTTATCTGTAATTTATAGTTACTGGCTGTATAGAATAATGACATTTTGTAGTTTTTCATTAAACTTCTGCTAATCGGACCCAAAACAGTTGCTAAACACAATAATAAATGTACACAAAATTACTTGAATACGTTTCAATTTTATAAATATTTTACTAGATACTATTTAAACCCTATGCTATTCTAAGAATATCATCTTGTTTAAATCCGATTATATTTGTCTTTCAACGAAAATCAATTTTCTCTCTCTCTCTCACTCTCTTTCTCTCTCGATCATTTGATTACATTAACATAGAAGGATATTTTACTTTCTTTTCAAATGTTTCTTGCAAAAAATAAATAAACAGTATCTAAATTGATTTTAACAAAAAAGTACGTAATATTTTTTATGGAAAAAGTTGCTGCGCCAATTCAGAGCACGCAGTCTATGTCACCATTTGCTACCCATCGATACTTATTCTCTTCTAGTTTTCTCTCAAACCTTTTGAATATAGTAAAAATATCGAAAAAATATCATTCCACTACGATATGCTTGACAAAGACATACAAAGTTAACCAAGTTTAAATGCTCCACTGAGAAAGTTCAACATTGCCGAATTTTTGTAGGAAAAATCGATAAACTTTATTTTTAGCTGACTCGATAGCTTCTAGATGGAAATTTAATAAAATCGTGTATTCTAGCAAAATATCCTTTGTTAAAGGTTGTTAAAACAGCTAACGAGGGAACGTTCTGAGGTGTCCAAAAAATAACCAAAATCTTTTTTATGAGCCATAATTGTGGTCCGTAAATTTTCGATTAAAATGAGACATCTCCCAGCTATACACGACCTTTCTTTGCAAAATTATAGAATTTACAAGCCCTAAATGTTCATTGTAAGTCATCTCAAAGCTACGGAAATAAGAAAAAATTAATTTAGGGCTTTTCTTGTAAATTCTATAACTTTGCAAAGAAAGGTCGTGTATAGCTGGGAGATGTCTCATTTTAATTGGAAATTTGCTGGCCACTATTATGGCTCATAAAAAAGGTTTTGGTTATTATTTAGAGATCTGGAAAAACTGGTTTTCCAAAAAACCGGGCCTTCAAGAGTCATACGCACGAATCCTTTTAGGGTATTTACTTCCTCACTGAGGTCGATCGATCCATGAACAAATCATTGGAATCAGAAGTTGATATCTAAGAACGTTCCCTCGTAAGTTCAGATCTATGCAGGAAAAAATCTGACGGCACTTTTCTTTTCGTCGCAACATGGTACTTAATCAATGAATAGTTTTTGCACAGTATGGATATCACATGAAGTATATAAGGACTTTAAAGCTACTGTCTAAAACACTAGCTTATGGATAATACAAAAAAGAGAGAAAGTAGAGTAAATAAACATATAAAGACAGAGAAACAGCATGACGAAATCTGTTTATGTAGGCTACATTCAGTTCATCAGAAAAAGTCAAATGTACGTTGGTTGTGGAATGATTGTATTTTTTCCGAGTTCATAGTTAAAACTGACTCTCGCGTTTTTCTAATTTATTACTAACATCTGAAATTTATGTTGTCTCTATGATCAATGCTGTACTATCGTATTTAAAAGTAAATAAAGCGTAACAGGTGATCCAGAATAAATCAATCATTTAGTATTTTCGCTTAGTAGTATTCATATCTCAGTTGAATTTTATCCTCTACGCCGTATTGTTTTCTTAAAAGATGCGCTATGAAATTCTCTACAAAAAAACACATTCTTTTATATACTGTAAAAATAAAAGAATATAGAAGAAAGACTGCGAAACTTCAGTCTCGATCACTCTGCAACTCAAAAGACAAGGAAAACAAAGTTATGCTGTCTTTTTCGCCGAGATCGAGGAAAAGAAGAGAAAATATTGAACTTTGTACAGATGTAATAGAAGAATTATTTTACTTTAAGATAAAACAAATAAACAAACACATAAACAAACTCAGAACTGCACGTGGAAAACGTTGATTTCAAGATATCGATAAAAGATGCACGTGCTGCACGTGCTCACCCCTCGCGGTCTTTATTCTTTTGTCTTTACAGTATATAAACGAATGTGTAATATATTTTTTGTAGAGGATTTCACAGCGCATCTTTTAAGAAAACAATAAAACGTAGGGAATATGATCCAACTGAGATATGAGCAAAATACTAAGTGATTGATTTATTCTGAAGCATCTGTTATAATTAAAAGAATCACCTAACCACTTCAAGGTGCGTATGTTCTCAAAATTTTAAACTTTTTAGAATTTGAGCTGAATAGAATAGAAATACCTACTAAAATTTACTATCGTTTGCAAAAAGTAACATTCATACTGAGATATTAAGAAAATTAGATATAAAAGAGTTTTTGTTAATATTAGATGTTCACTACATTGATATATTAATGAACAGCTATCAGTTGAATACCATCCAGCGCTAGATATCAGTACTCTCTTTTTGAATGACTAATAAACTATATGATGTTGATTGAAAGACGCTTGGCTAAACAAATATTCGAATCTTATTTAACCCTTTGGCTGCAGATGACGCAAATATGCGTCACATAAACATGCATATTTATAAAAAATTTTAATAAACAGTAAATACACATTAATTTATGATCAAGTATACAGCAAAATAGGAATTTTAATTTTTTTCAAAAATAACTTCGCAGCCAAAGGGTTAAAATCGATAAAAATGATGACTTATGATGATAGGTCATACTCAACGTTTTCTATTCCTGAAATAATATACATTAAAAATAATCAACAAGTCGACATCTGTAGAGTTTTTGTTAATATGATGGAACTATTCAACACTTTCATGTACATAAAAGCAACTTTTAAAAAAAATATATGTTGTAAATTGTACGCCATTGAACCATGATATCAATCACAATAACAAATGCCAACAATTACAGAAGGTGTTATTCTTCATAAAACACTTAAAAAAGATTATGAAAAATGTATTACCGTTGCCAGTCGGCAGTGAAAAAATTAGGAAAGCATAATGTATCATACATAGGGTTTTGTTTTTATCAGATGCCATGAATAAGAATTCTTATAATGAAATTTTGCATACGATAAAAATGAATCAAAAATTATGCGATCAATTGAACGAATGATAATTGAAAAATGCAAAGAAATTATACGATATGGCCAACAAACATTACAATTAAAAGATATTTCACTGTCAAGAATGGTTAAAATATTGTGATTTTGCATAAGCTATGACATAAACACGCAGAATGTGAGATACAGCTACAATTTATCTTTATATTTTTGTGTACTAGAGTTTGTCAGAATCTTTTCTGTTTATATTAGAAAAAAGATATGTGTGTGTGTTAACAGCATAAATAAAGATACTAGCGACTCACTACAATAATGGTGAAAAAAGCACTGAGAGCAAATAATAAAATGTGCGTTTAACAAAAAAAAAAATAGTACACGCGAATGATTTTCCTAATTGAAATAAGCACAGAAAAAAAAATAACCAAGAGAAAAATGGTAATAAAAATTCATATTACGTGCGCAAAGAGATGTAAAAGAAAAGAGACAGCAAAGTCAAGTTTAAAAAGAAAAGCTAACAGAAAAAAAAACAACATCAAACCATAAAAAATGCGGAAATGAACGAACTGTTCTTCTAACAGAAGACAAGTGGTTTCTTCTGAATAACGAATGATTGAGGACGGAGCAATACATGTAAAAAGAAAGTAAATCAATCATTTGTAACAATGGGATGTACAGTAACAGACTGTCTAATTTCTTCGAGAATACTTTCAGCACCCAATTGACTAAGTCTAACAGCCAAATTTGTACCGCACAATTCCGCATTTTCCAATATTGTTTCATCGATATCGAGACAACAAACATGTGCAAAATGACGATAAAGGGGTTCTTTAATAAGCGCTTTTTTACTCGTAGGAAATCCACTTACATCATCCTCTTCGCTTGTACGTTTTCTTTTTAAGTTAGGGACTAAATCTTCTCCCTCTGTTGGTACATCTAAAGTTTTATTCTCGATAATTGGTACATCGTCTTTTTGCACAAAAAATTTGATATTTCCACGTAAACTATTTTTTGATATAGTTAAATCAGAATCAACAATGCGATCTTTAACAAATTTTGTTCCATCTAAATTCAATAATATGCCATCGATGATCAGCTCTTTTCCATCATATTGCGTTCGAACAGCATTCGGTACACTGCAGCCGCCGCCGATCCGTCGTAAAAACGAACGTTCAGCAATGCAACGAATAACAGACGGGGCGTGATTTAATACAGACAACATTTTTATCGTGTCATTATCATCGTGACGACATTCAATGCCCAATGCGCCTTGACCTATCGCATACAAAACGATATCGGGCTCAATTATCTAAATACACAAAACAAAACCAATCACACCATCACGAAATACTCCTCTTTACTTCGAGTGTAACAGCAAGTGAACATTTTCCACACAAGAGTTACACTATCAGGCAAAATCAACTTATTTAAATGAAAATGGCTGGATAACCATGTCTGAACTCACCTCACTAATTCGATCTGTCCAGTTCAGTCGTTGTAATCCAGCGACAGCCGCTATCATGGCATCATAGCCCAATGTTTTGTCTGAAAGTTTTTCATATCTTGTATTCATATTACCACGAATATTTTTATATTGAAATTTTGGATAAGCTAATTTCAACTGAGCAATACGACGTGTAGAGCTCGTTCCAATAACACTAAACCACACAGAGAGGATGATCATGAAATTCACTTTTCATTCCTATTCATACTCACCTTTCATCAGGTAACTCATTTAACGATTTCTCTGTACGCCATGGTGCAATGACAACTGCATCTCTCGGATCAGCACGATCGAGAATGGCACCAATAATCATATTCGGGGGTAAAACAGTTGACGGAACATCTTTCAACGAATGAACAACAAAATCAATGCTGTTTTTTTCTAGTTCAATTTCGAGTTCTTTTGTGAATAAACCTGAAATACAAAATATTAGAATACAACAGAACTTCTGTACGACAGTTTTGCTCACCTTTATCGCCGATATTGGCCAATGGATCCTGTAAATTTTTATCGCCAATTGTTTTTATTCTGACAACTTCATAATCAATAGTGGGGTAAAACTTTTTCAAATTTTCAATGACACTAAAATACAAAGTTTATATTAATCATAGTAAAAATACCTAAAGCGTAAAACTATATGAAAAAAGAACAGATATATGCACATGGATTATATACCTTTCTGTTTGTACAAGTGCTAGAACTGATTGGCGCGTGCCAACAGTATATTTGGTTCGCTGTGGTACATAATGCATCCTTGGTCAAATCTATTTCGTCATTATCAAAGCTCTAATCAAGCTCACGTACATATACACGCACATACACTAACAACTAAATGCAAACTATCTAAAATCAAAGAAAAAATTCCATTTTCAAAGAGTAAAGATATCGATAATGTTAGACAGAAAATATCTAAATACATAACACGTATTAAAAGTCATATCGTTTCCAAAGTCTAAAGAGTATACTTAGACAGAGAAGTCAATTTAATTTCAGCTAAACTGAGCATAGTAATCACGAATCTAATGATTCTTGGATAAAATGCGTCCTAAGACATAAAAAAATCTTGCGACGATACGCAATTTCAAGGAATTTGATTCAAATGTTCAGATATATCTTTTTTAATCACTACTGTAAGATCAATTGCTGGAACAATTAATCGACAAACAACACAAATATCAAGACTGTTGACAAATCAAAGTAATACAACGACGAATCAGTATCACACTTCAATTTTTCAAATATAACAAAAACAATTTTACTAAATTGTTTAACAAACATCCTTTTCTGAAATCGTCTTCGAGAGAGGTAATGTTTACTCTAGAAAAAAAAGCACACAAATGATTTCACAATAAATGTGCATGAGCCATCAAATACCGAAAGTTTGTACAACAAAGTTGTTTTCGTATTTTATAGTAAGTCAAAGTAAATGTGATTGTCTTACTTCCTCAAGAATACACGATGCACCTTTCTGATTAAGCTTGATAGCTCATTTTATTACACAAAACTCGGAATTTTTTAATACTGTTTCATCAATATTAAGACAACAAACATGCAAAAACTGATTGTATAGACCTGCTGTTGGGCTAGGTTTTCTTTGAATTGTCGATAATTTCCTCGATTTCTCATCATTAACATTATCAACTTCTTCCTCATTAGTATCATCATTTGAATGTTTACGTTTTAAACTTAAACATCTTTTATCAATATGAAGTCGGCCTGTTGTCAAAACATTGTCATCATTATTTGTTAACAGAGAATCACTTCCTTTTCTTGAGACCGTCTTGTTTATTTCTAATTTATTTCGGAATAAATAATGCGATCTTTAACAAATTTTGTTCCGTCTAAATTCAATAATATGCCATCGATGATCAGCTCTTTTCCATCGTATTGCGTTCGAACAGCATTCGGTACACTGTAACCGCCGCCGATCCGTCGTAAAAACGAACGTTCAGCAATGCAACGAATAAGTTTTTATTCTGACAACTTCATAATCAATAGTGGGGTAAAACTTTTTCAAATTTTCAATGACACTAAAATACAAAGTTTATGTTAATCATAGTAAAAATACCTAAAGCGTAAAACTATATGAAAAAAGAACAGATATATGCACATGGATTATATACCTTTCTGTTTGTACAAGTGCTAGAACTGATTGGCGCGTGCCAACAGTATATTT